TATGCGATTGTCACACTTTACAGCTTGGCTAATAGCTTCGTTGAGCGTTTGAGGATCAGGAAGAGATAACAGCAAGTCCTTCACATCATCCTTCAAGCCCCAATAAAACTGACTCACCAACGCCTCTTCACCCCAATTAATGTCACTTGCCAATTGTCTGAAATCCGAGGCATAGACTGATGCAGAGCGTGTTCCTTGTCGTAGCGATCGGATCTTTGTTGTAGCCCATCGAACTTTATCATGCTCGCCAAATGCTTCTGTAAACGCCTCCAAGAACGTTTCAAAGTTGCTCAGGATTGGCGATCGCTTCTCAAACAAGGGAATAAACCAAGACAGAGCTTGTGCTGTAAGCAAGGTTCCAACAAGCCCAACACGCGCTTCCTCCGTCGGATAACGTTTGGGCTGTAAAATTGTTATCAACCTGATTTGGTTGACAAAACCTCGAAACTTGGAACGAGTTCCATCAAACTTATCCGGAAGACTAACTCGAGGCTCCTTTCGTTGTAGGACTACTCGATCTTGTTGAAATGGAGGTAGAACTGCTTCTTCTGGCGCAGAAGTTTGAGGCTGATATGCTTTAGATGGCACTATCCCAGATGCTCCATTGTTATGGAGTCCTACCATGACTCCTTCGATCTCTGTTGTCCTATGTGACAACGAGGCAAGAGCATTTATGATGGCATCTAGTTTGGATTCCAAACTTTCAGCCATTTTAACGTCTTAACCTTCGGCTAACCTTCAAAAAGAAGAAAAAAGAGTTTTGACAAGAGGACAATATTGGTTCAGAGGAGAGTACTCCGCAACCTCTAAAACGCCTTAAGACTCCAAGATGAGGGGTAATCCACTCTCTCCAAGAAGAATAAGGCTCCAATATTGAGAAAGAAGAGATATCAGTTTAGAGGAGGGTAATCCGCAACCTCTAAAACACTAGCACACCTTCAAGAAGAGGAGTAATCCACTCTCTAACAAGAAGGAACTAGCTCTGATACCAGTGAAAATGCAATCTCGACAAATTGTCACGGACACAAAATACAGACTTGAAATCTAATAAGAAGTTCAAGAAGAAGTGGCAGAACTAGATTAAACAGATGAGTACAAGAACAACACCAGAAAGGTGAGCTAGAACTCCAAGAGATGTGTTGTCGAGACTGAAGAACCCTTCAGCCTCGACTCCTATATATACTACTGAATAGGAAGCTTCTCGAGCTACTTCCGCTAACTAGGACGCTTCTCCAACAACTTCTATTAATTAGAAAACTTCTCGAGCAACTTCCTAGAATCTATCAGAATATTCTAGAACCTTCTAAGAATATTCTAGAACCTTCTAAGAGAATCTTTAGGGAATATTCTAAGCATCTTCTAGAACCTTCTAAAGGAATCTTTAGAGAATCTTTAGAGAATATTCAAAGAATCTTCCAATGTATGTCCATGACACTGGTTGAATATAGCTTCAGACCCTTTTTCTTAATACAATTGGATTTTGTATCTTCTTGTTTTGTTTTTTTTTGTTCTAGTTTTGGTTGCTCAGTTTTGTCTTCTATATTCCATTCTATTTAATTTAGTTCAATTTTGTTGTGATCCAGTTTGTCTTATCTTGTCATGAAGTTTTATGTTGCTATGGATTAGAAGGATCTTAGACACTTGTGATAGACTGGTCTTGTTTCAAATTGGATGTTAATTTTGTTCATTAAGAAGGAACTTCAATTGATGTATTCCATAAAATTGTTCTAAAAAAATAGAAAACTTTGAAAAATGGTTTTGGAATATTTAAGTTGTATGATGGTAAAGACTAATTATTTAATAAAATATACCTAAAATTTATATTTATACATTAACAAATGAACATCAATATTTTAGAATAGACATTGTGAAAAAAGATCTCATCTTGTAGATACAAAAATCCTTTTAAGTCTACATGATTTAAAATGGATGGTAGGAAGAAATAAGTATGGAATTTTAAGGATATATATTACCAAAGTCATTAAAACTTATACTAAATGCCAATTTCAAAAATCTAGATTTGAAAGAGTGATTTATCTATAAAGTTAACAACTTTGATAATATACATAACATCATACAATAGCTTGTGCCCAAAAAAAAGAATATATGAATGACCTCAAGGTCTAACATGTATTGGTATTGAAGCTAATCCATCAATATTAAAGAAAGACACTTTATGCCTCAAAGGTGGTAATCTTTATGTACCATCAAGAAATAAAGTTATGGCAAGGATTTTGATTTAATCAACAATATTGATAAACTTTGATAGTGATTGTCTAGAAGACATGTGGGATATGAGTTCTTTATAAAAATCATACATGAAGAAGATGAAAGAAAAAATATTGAAGTTTATGCCAATTCAAATTATAATAGCTACAATCTTAGATCAAAGAAGGATTTTTATTTTTTACCTATTTATTAAAGTATAATTAACAATTATACTCAGATGTTAGATAATCTTAATAACATCAAATTTATCTTAAAATATTTTAAAAAATAGAAAGAAATTTTAAGATAAAAAGTTCTATTGTATGAACAAAGATTATTTTGTTTCTTATTAGATCCAAAAGAAGCATCAAACCTATCATATTGTCTTTAAATTAAAAAAATAAATATAATGAAGATAACTATGAAGTGGTAAGAAAAATAGTCCTTAAATAGATAGATTTTTTTTTAATTCTATAAAGCTTATGATCTAGATAATCTAATAGTAGAGAAGACACCATTTGTATTAGTGATGTAAACAAAGACATGTTTGATAAAGCAAAAGATATTATGCCAAACTCAACATGGATTGTGGACTCAAAATTTAAAACTAATCAATAGAATATGCCTTTGAATACTAGGATGTGCCTTAATGCAATGGAATTAGAGATACCAATTTTTTTGATGATTTATAGTACTACCAAGAATAGTAATTAAGAGCAAATGATATTATATCTTATAATATATGTAATGTTTCAAAATATGGATACAATTTCAATAAATGTAATAGTAATTGATAAAAGTAATATAAAGTATAAGGCTTTAATAAGAGCTAATAAAAAAGACTATTTGTATTGGAAAAATAAAAATATTGGTCGAAAGTAAAGTATCATATATTTTTGTGTTGGTTCCATAAAAAAAAAAAATATATGGGTAGAAAATTTGTTGTATAAATTTCTTAAAATTAAGAATTTTGATTTATACAAGAAAATATATTTTATATTAGAAGGAGACTCTAAAAAAATTGACATGGAATACAAAAGATTTAAAATTACATATACTAAAAATAAAAATTATTTAAATATGTAAATAATGGTTGAGTAGGACACAATTGCCAAATGAAGCTTATGTGGCCAAAATAGGCTAAGTTATATCAACATGGACATGTTAACGCAATTCATCTTGTAGAATGCATGTCAAAATATATGAAATATATCTTTTTAAATAAAAAGATGGATCATTGACTTGATGAATTCATCATTTCATTGATAGGTAAGTTAGATATATGACATCATTTTAAAAGAATCACTTTGATGTAAAACTATAATAATGTCCATATATTGAGTGAATCAAAGAAATATTCTTTAAGAGGTGGAGATAAACAATAAACATCAAGGTTACAAAGAGCCAAGTAGTTGATTGAATATTATAAACAAGACTAATTATCAAATTTGGAAGTTCTTCATGCATGTTGCATTGAATTTGACTTTTAAAGTCAAGATATTCTAACAAATTGGTATATTGTTAGCTTATTTTGTGAATGGTATGAATGCAAAGATTATGCTTCTATATGAAAATACATATGGGCTATGAGATAAATTATTAATAAAGAATATCCACATCTATTAGATTTATTACCAAGTACATATGAAGATAATGGCTTCTTCAATTGAAAAGAAGATATTTTTAATGATAGTCTAAGTTAAAGATCATATGATAGTCCAAGCAATGAAAGAAATAGTGGAATTTAGGTTCTTAGGTATAATGTTCAAATCCGCAAGTTGTTTAAGATAACAAGTTTGATGATACCAATCAAGATAGAAGCCTTAACTATAAAACAATATGATATGCTCAATAAAGCAAAAAAATCAATCTTAGTCCTTTTAGGAGGTATAAGGGACTTATTACTAAGATCCCTACAAATTCCTATGCCATAAGAAGGTGGTAGTATCAACCATATACAAGCTCATGTTATAAGTATTAGACTTTGATTTGGAAACCAAAAGAAGAAGAGAAAATTGAATAATGAAGAAGGATATGGTGGAAAGAATCTAATAGCGCCATAATTTGGTGGATTCAAAGTTTTACAATAAAAATAAGAAGTTGTTCAAAAGAAATGTACATGAATGAGACTATCTAAGCTGTGCAAAGAAGCATGTCTAAAATGTAGTGATTTCAATATATTCTTTATTAGAGTCATCAAAACTAAATGCAAAAATTGCCAATACATGATAATAAAAGAAGATAATAGTGTTGCATTAGATAAGAAAGAATGCAATATTGACTAAGATGTAAAATTTTTCTTTAAAGATTTAGATTTTTAATAAGAATGTATATCTTTTTACAAGAAATAAAATATAGATTTTTAATCAATAATGAATCCTTGTTAATAAAAATTAATGAGTAAATTTTTTAAGTTGCAAAAATTCTTCCTAGAAACACATATATCATGTACATGTATGACAACAAACAACATAAATAAATAAATAATTGAACAAACTCCCGCACACATGTGAATGTGGATCAGTGTGGGCCCACTGAGGGGGTACAATTTGGATCCGTGCAGGCCCAATCGGGAATAGGTTCTGAGTTCCCAACCTGCCGCCCTCCAAACTGCCCGCCCCCTGGTTCCCTTGCGTTCCCTATCTGCGTTCCCAATAAATCCTATGACGGCCAGGATTCAATCTGGAAATCTGACGGCCCAGATGTCTCGATCCAGTCGATTGAACAAGGAGGTTTCTGCGACACGATTCTACAAGGGTCCTCTGGAGTGAGTCCAGAATGCTCGGGAACCATCTGCTTCCAATTCCACATTCTTCCTTCTACACTCTTCCTTACTTCCTTCCCTTCCGACGCCCTTAGCAATTCCCTCGGTCCGCCCCTGCATTGTGCATTTTGGAGTAGTATATATAGTAGCGCTCGGCGTCAGAGTGCGCATCCTTGATTTTTACACAAGCTGAGTTGTTATGATTGGAGTGTGGCTGACGCAGTGTGTCCAATTGTGGTCTACAGCTCTCCAGCTCTCTGAGAGATAGTTTGGCAACTGAGATTGAGATTTTTGTGAGCGTCCATTGTGGGAGGTTGGTCGTTCAATTAGATCGGTCGTTCCTTGAACTCCGACGCTCTTAGGTCGCAGCTTGGGTGAAACGCAGTTGAGTGCATATTCTTCGGGTCCTGCGTTCTTGAGAAATTGAGACAGATATGGCTCTCTCGCTGTTTGGCAGCCGTGGCAACGGTGTGTTCGATCCCTTCGAGTTCGGCAGTGTGTGGGATCCTTTCTCGGCGCCGGAGAGCGGGCTGTCCCGGAAATTGGCTGGCGACGCGCACGCTGGGGCGAATACGCGGATCGATTGGCGTGAAACGCCTGAGGCGCACATCTTTAAAGCAGACCTGCCTGGGCTGAGGAAGGAAGAGGTGAAAATACAAGTGGTGGAGGGGAAGTCGCTGGAGATTAGCGGCGAGAGGAAAAGAGAGGAGTTGCAGAAAGGCGATACATGGCATCGGGTGGAACGCGCGCAAGGCAGTTTTCTGCGACGGTTCCGGCTTCCGGAGGGTGCAAACGTGGACGAAGTGAAGGCGCAGGTACAGGACGGGGTTTTGACAGTGACAGTGACAGTTCCCAAGCTTCAGAAACCGAAGCCACAGGTGCGCCAGATAGAGATCGCATGAGGCGTGACACAGATATAGATCACATGAGGTGTGCATAGAAACAGAAATGACAATTGCTGACGTATCTATTACAGTGATGCCGTAGGAATATACAGCAATCCTCAGCCTGCGTAGTGTTGGCTGTCAAATGAAGTAAATGGAACCGAATGGTGGAAACAATCTCAAAAGATGGGGTTCAAATTCGGTACCCGCCCTAATCCATTGCTCAATTTTTTTGAAACATGTGAATAAAAGCAGCACATGGTACAGAATTGCTGTGTAGGAGTTGAAGAACATCTACATGGCTGGATCTGCGCATTTTTCGCTGAATGTATTCGCTTTCATTTCCAAATTCATCCGCGCAATTCCTAATCTTAGCAATGCCATTCTATATCCACTTCTCCCGCGGCACACTTCACAACATCGCGGATGATCTTTAAACTGCAGAAACGGCACCAGTAAGTAAAACCGATTCTGGGTGGTAATCTGTGTGAAAATCCGTTACGTACGAGTAATGGCCTCCATGCATTCTGGTGCATATGGTGTCTCAGGTCGGCAGTCGTTTTCCCGGGTGCAATATGAGGTAATGACACTGGCTGAGGCGTATACTACCTGACAATTCATGCAGATGTCACCCCCCCGTCACTGGCGGCCTGTGGTGCGGTGACTCTAAACCCGAATCTCTAAAACTCATCCTCATGGTCATGAATTATTGTAACTGTTGTCAATCAGGCGTTGGGGTCATTCATGAAAGCCCATTTGATTGGGTGATGCTACGTTTGGATGCAGGAATTGAAGGAAGATATCTCAATCACATGTGATAGAGGTCTTGAAGTTGAAATATAAAATATAAGTAATCATTAAGGATTTTTATACATTCTTTATTTATTTCTAACTATTAGACTTATCCCTTATTCTTTTTTCTTCCTATTTTTGTCTGTATCCACATCTCCATCCTAACCTTCTCATTTCTCCTCCATATTCTCTTATTTCCCTTATCTTCCTTCCTCATGTCTTCTGTCTCTATCTTGGTCCATGCTCTCAACTCTCGTCCCTTGCTCTATTAACTTATCTATAAGAATTGCTCAATTGGGATCATACTTAGAAGATATAAACTAAATTCATATATTTATTAAAGATTTTGTTCATGCACTCAATGCCAAAGCTATTATTAATTGACAATGAATTTTATTTTATATCTGATGCAAAGTGAGGGACCCAATGCTAATATAAATATATGTTTTAATTTGTAAAAACTATTTTGTAAACAAAATCATTTGTATGTATATATATAAAAACTATCAAGTGAATATACTTCTTTTATTGCACAATATTTTGACATTTCTATTCACTAGTCAAAAATAATCTATACTGCCTTATAGGCATCACTATTTAACAAAATACAAGCCACTATCAAAATATATATATATATATATATATATATATATATATTAGAAAATGTTAAAATAACTCATCCATTTATTAAATCAATCCATCTATTTACTTTACTGATCCACCCTATCATGGAAAACGAGAGGGTCAAGATGAAAGTTGGAAACATAGTGAAGAGAAAAGGAGAGTTAGAATGAAGATGGCTAGAAACAAAGAGAGCATAGGATGGAAACAAGAGGGATTAGAATAAGGTAGAAATTAATTTAAGCTATCATAATAGATAATAAGATTTTATATCTTTAAAATCTAAAAATTTATTTTACATATTTTAAAATTTTACTATGTTTTATTTTATTAAGGATAATTTTATTATTTTAACTAAGATGACAAAGTTTGATAGAATCAAAAACAATTCATAGAGTAATTGAAATAAGAACATTAAAATGTTTAAAGATTAATTTCATTAGCATCAAATTCAATGCATAAAAATCTACTTGAAAAAAAAGAAGATAGTTTTCAATATTAAAATTAGATTAGCATTTTATTATATAAAAAATAAAAAATAAATAAAATATAAAAATACAAAAAAAATCCTAATTATATATTGGTTTTAAAGCATTTACATAGAAATAAGTAATCATAAATTTTAAAAATATATAATAATATTTTAATTAAAATAAAATATTTTATTTAAATCATAAATTTATATAATTTAACTGATAAAATATGTATGTATATATATGTATATATATATATATATATATATATATATATATATATATTAATAATAATATTCATACATTAAAAATATTTAAAAAGAATAGCTTATTATTTAAAAATATAAATAATACAATTATGTGGCAAGAAACTTCATAGAAAATTAAATTCTATAATTTTAGAATATATCTTAATATTTTATTTAATATTTATTAAATAAATTAATAATATAATCTTAATTATATGCACATGAGTCATGATTCTAAGAAAATTAATTTGATAATAATATTTTTATTTAATAAATTATAATAATATTAGTTATATACATAATTTTAATTAAAATTTAACTAAGAAGAATTTTAATGAACAAAATATGCATAAGATATAAGATATACGATGTAAATATTCAAATATTCATAGAGTATATTAAACTTTTTGTTCTTCTAGCTTATAAAAAATCAAGTTAAATTATATTAGGATTATTAATATATATTTTTTATATTAAAGCCAAGAATACTTAATGATTATTAAAAATTAAAAATTGGATATTTTTTAGTACATTTTTAAATCAATTTTTAGAATTATTTTAGCTTTTATTAGTACAAATGTGTTATCAAGAGTAAAAAAGGTCTTTATAATATATAATGAATTCTTAATATATATATATATATATATATATATATGTGTGTGTGTGTGTGTGTGTGTGTGTGTGTGTGTGCTTGTGTATAGGAAAATGTTAAATGGATTCAAGTTTTTATTAAATCAATCCACCCATTCTAAGAATCATGAAAAAAAATTAGATTTATTTCTTTGTTATTAGATCTATAACCAATAAAAACCAATCACATTCATTATAATTACTATATTCTTTATCAAGAGTAGGTTTATTTAATAAAATCATGGATCTATTTAATATTCACTTGTATATATAATAATAATATGCTTATACATTAATTATATTACTAAAAGTTGGTAAAAATAGTTTGGTATCTAGAAGATTATTTTCATAAGAAATTTTAAATATCTAAATTTGATATTTTATTATTATTATTATTATTTTAGCAAAAATCAAATTCAGTTAATTACAATGACATTAATTTATTGATTCATTTATTTATTTTTAAACAATTGATTAATGGCTAGTTAAAATTTGAAGGACTATAAGAGTATTATTTATCTATATTATTTGTTGTTATACCATATAAAGGCTTTATTTTAAGTTTGTCTTATAAAATTTATTAAGAATATCCTCTATTTAATTAACTTCTTCACAAATTGTATTACTTATGCCAAAATCATAAGTTATATTTTTCTTCTTTTTAGTATAAGATCCTAGTTTTAATTTACTTATTTTAATACTTTTAGTTTATTAAATTAAAAATAAAATAAAAATATAAAATTATTCAAAATTTTTAAATAATTTATTTTCTTTATTGTAATAGAAAACAAATTATGCTATGAATTTCCAATATTAATAGGAATTTGTAGTAACTAAATGTGTATAGAAATAAAGTGTCATATTTATAAATGGTTGTCAAACTTTGCCATTAGATATTATTACTAAAAATTATATATAATTCTTTAAAAATTAATAAATTTATATAATTATATATATATATATATACACACACATTTACATATAATAAAAAGTATCATAAACTTCTTGTATAATTACTTTATCTCAGCGTATACATGGATGTTACAGCCATTTACTTCTACACTCTTTAAAACATTTTAATTTATTCTTATTATTTTCAAAAAAAATCTAATATATTACAATTTTTCATAATAGAAATTGTAAAGTCTTGGATTATATGTTATAATTTAGAACCTCCTTAAAGAGTTTGTACTAGAATCTTAAGAAATTAATTATATTTGTACACCTCAAGCCATTTGCAGTAATATAACACATTCTTGTTACCTAGTTCATGATAATATTAATTTTCGTAAATTAAGTCATTAATGAATAATTATATTTTTTTGATAATAGCCTTGTTATAATTTGGCATAATTATTTAATTGATTTCAAAGTTTTGATTTAGATTTCTTTTTCTTTTCCAATGTTTTCAATTCCATGCTCAATTTTAAAAACAACTGAAAAAGAACGGTGATCACTAATTGCTAGTTCCATTATTCAAGATCAATTTGGCCATCAAAAAGTAAAATCAAATGAATGAATGATAGCTCTTGTTCTATTCTGCAATCATGAATGGTTCTTTCCACAACTTTTTAGACAAACCAGAACAACCACTATAAATACACACCCACGAACTCACATACAAACTAATAAATGAATATAGGTACATACATACATATATATATATAAAACTGGGTTCCTCATTTGACTAAGGAATATGGTGAGTGCTGCCTGAGATGAAAGCTGGGAGCCACCCATGTGGACATGGCCTACTTGCTCTATTGAATGCACAGTCAGACCTCCCCACCCCTCATCATCCTGCAATACCTTTGTTTCCAATCCGTTCCCTGGCACCGCATAATAAAAACTCCTCTGTTTTATTCCATTGATGAGCAGCATCATACCCATGTCAGCTTACCTAATCAAACTTTTCTTTTTCCAATCCCCTCCACCTCTCCTTCAACTGATTTAAATAAGAACCTAACAACAAAAACAAAATAATGAGAAATGAAAGAAGCACAAGAAGAAGCCCAGCTTCGTCAGTCTGAAAAAGCAGTTTCCTGTAATCTGGGTTGTTACTGTTGTTGTTCGCAGAGTGCAGGTAATGTTTGCATCGTAAATTAGGCATCTTTCGATCTTCATGTTGGCAGAGCTTCCGAATCGAAAGCCACCATTTTAGCTTCAACAAAATAAAAACCAGCATGTAAGGGCTGCTGCTGCTGGTGGAGTCCAGCCCATCAGCTAGTATCACTCGCACTCTGGGTTGCACAATTTCGATGATCGAAAGGTGGGTGGCCTGACAGGAACCAATTGGCCACAACACCTCTTGATCCTTGGGTAGTAAATGGCGGTGAGGGGCCCTCCTTTCGCAGGAGTTACAGACACCAGACGAAACTCAAAGGGGAATCAAAGGCTGGACCCCACAACGTGGTGACACACACACAAACACGCATGACCTGGAAAGAAAGAGATTGGGTGAGCAATCCGCAGCCAGCCGCGGTGGCAGTGTGTTGTCAGTCGATTCTCTGAAAGAACTGCAGTGGGCTTCAGTAGGGTGTTTCCATGTACAGCTCGAAAGTGAGTTCGCGATGAAGAGCAGCAGGGGACAGCTCAGTTGTGCACGAGGAGGAACTTCGTCACTAAGCCCCAGAAAAAACCTCACTGCCTCCATTTCCTGCGGAAGCTCGCGGGGACTTTGGGAAGCTCCGGATCCTCTGACATTTCTTTACGCTTCTCTTCACATCAACACCCATATACGTGCATGTTAAGCTATCCCGTTTAATATTGCAATCACATACTGAGACGCAGTGGGTGGCTTGGCATGAAGAGGTCCTTGCGACACATGTGCTGTGCGAGCAGATGAAGGAGCTGGCGAGCAAGGAAAGAGAGAGAGTGAGAGATACAGTACTAGGGTCCTGAGAGGTGTGAAGACAACGTGTGGCTCCAGGAGGGTCAAGCATTGGCAGCAGGTAGGTATTGAGCCTTAAATGCGAGGCTGCCCCTCCTGTGCATCTGCAGCTCTGGCATGCACGAGAACTGGAGCGTTCTTCATTCATGACTCTGCCGCGTCCCACCACCTTCACAGAACATATAATTCCCCACTCCGCCTCCCCGTCGTGGGCTCAGCTACAACCATCTCACGCACCTTATCGATCGCCGCCGCTGGGATTCGTAGACGGAGTTGCTGCACTATCCCCACCCCTGGGGTTGCTATCTTACTCGTGTTCTTCTGCCTGTAATTCGGAGGATTTCATACGCGCTAGGTTGGATACAGTCAGCGCTTACTGTGTCGCAGATTGCTGGAGCACGGGGAGTGTGTGTGTGTGTGGAATGCAGGAGAGTGTGAAGGAATCTTGATGATGAGAGCGTTGAGGAAGGAGTGAGGGAGGTTAGGATCATGGACACTGCCGCAGTGGAACAACGTGGAAGGGTCGTGCCCGTGCATTCGATGCTGTAGTTGATCTTAACCTGGTCGTGTACCATTGCGTGAGGTGCGGAGTGCGGGACGGGTGGGAGCGAAATCTCTTTGTGAGTACACTGAGTCCAAGGAATTGCGTGCCTTTTGTGCATTTGCATTCTTCTATTTATGGTTTACGATTAACTTTGTACTATTTTTGTCGCTTGGTTTGTATTGAAGATCGATTCACCAAGTCAAGATGTAGAATTATATTTGTGTCGGTGGGAGGTCATGAGCAGCTGCAGCTCATGCTCTAGCTTCCTCCTTTGTCAAAGTCCGGAGTAGAGGGGACATTGATGAGTTTAGTGTGTCCTCACCATGAGCTACTGGTCGCTGGGAACATCCAGGAGCCATAGACAAGTCCTGGTTATCGATGAATCGAAATTCACTTTGTCAGCTTCAGCTACTGCTAGCACTGACACATATAACCAAATTGTTAGATTTAGTTGTAGTTTCGGGTGAATAATTTCGATCTCCACGCAGTTTCTGACCGTTCAGAATGGGAATGTTCAGTGTTGTCTTGCTACAGTTCGTGACCAGGTGACCTCGAAGCAAAGCCGGAATCTCGCTAATTACCGACATGGCGGAGGGTGGGCAAGGGCCGGCGATGCAGCAGCCACATCACATTCGGCAATCTAGCTCTCTTCGGGAGGATATATTATCCCTCTACATCACTCCGAACCGGCGCCTCCCGGACTTCCTGCAGTCGGTCAATCTGAAATATGTGAAACTGGGATACCACCACCTGATCACACACCTTTTCACGCTGCTATTTATACCCATGTTGCTAGGAATTTTCCTGGAGGTCTGGCGCATGAGCCCCAACGACCTCCACAGCCTCTGGATGAATCTGCAGTTCAACCTGGTGAGCGTGATTATCTGCTCCGCCCTGCTCGTGTTCGGCGGCACGGTGTACGTGATGTCCAGGCCACGCACCATCTACCTAGTGGACTTCTCGTGCTATCTCCCCGGTTCCCAATTCGAAGTGCCCAAGGGCTTGTTCATGGAACGCACGCGGCAGACGGGCTGCTTCGACGAGGGATGCATAGGATTCCAGGAGAAGATCTTGGAGAGATCAGGCCTTGGGGAACAAACGTATTTCCCCCCAGCTATGTTCGAGGTGCCGCCGAAGCCCTCCATGAAGGCAGCACGGGAGGAGTCGTCAGCCGTCATGTTCGGGTGCTTGGATGAGCTCTTTGAAAAGACGAAGATCAAGCCCAAGGACGTGGGCGTGTTAGTAGTGAATAGCTCCTTGTTCAATCCGACTCCCTCCCTTTCGTCCATGATTGTGAACAAATACAACATGCGGGGCAACATAAGAACCTACAATTTGGGCGGGATGGGGTGCAGCGCTGGCGTTATTGCCATCGACCTCGCGAAAGATATGCTTCAAGTGCACGGGAACACCTACGCGATTGTTGTCAGCACGGAGAACATCACGCAGAACTGGTATATCGGAAAGCGCAAATCAATGCTCATTCCTAACTGTCTCTTCCGCGTGGGTGGTGCAGCAATTTTGCTCTCGAATAAGCGCAAGGACAAGGGGAGGTCTAAGTACAAGCTCAACCATGTGGTGAGAACACACAAGGGCGCCGATGACAAGTGCTACAGATGTGTGTATCAGGAGCAGGACGAGGAAGCCAGGATGGGTGTGACGCTTTCCAAGGATCTTATGGCAATCGCAGGAGACGCCTTGAAGACCAACATTACCACTTTGGGTCCTCTTGTGCTTCCCTTGTCGGAGCAGCTTCTCTTCTTCGGATTCCTCGTGGCACGCAAGGTGCTGAACCTCAAGGTGACGCCTTACATCCCCGACTTCAAGCTGGCGTTTAACCATTTCTGCATCCATGCAGGCGGGCGAGCCGTCATTGACGAGCTACAAAAGAATTTGAATCTGACTGAGGAGCTCTGTGAGCCGTCTCGTATGACGCTTCACCGTTTCGGCAACACTTCCTCCTCGTCTATCTGGTACGAGCTAGCCTACACGGAGGCCAAGGGCCGTATGAAGAAGGGACACAGGGTATGGCAGATTGCTTTCGGAAGTGGATTCAAATGCAATAGTGCTGTCTGGCAAGCGCTGCGTTCCATTAAGCCTCCGAAGCAATCCCCGTGGGCTCATTGTATCGACCAGTATCCTGTTCACATCGACGAAGTTGAGAAAATCAAATACACCAAGTGATCGAAGACCTTGGGAGTTCATTTCCACCCCCCTTCTTAATTGGTTGGCTGAGGGACCGGATAAAAAATGTACAGGTCGCTCGAAAGCCCTTGACGTCAAGATAAGCTGATGAGTTAATTTGCCTCTTCTTCTTCATTTGCTTCCATTCGTACATTTTGCTGGACATATAGCAGCATGGAGAAGAAGATGCAAATTGCTCTTGTAAGGCAATACAGCGGACTCTACCTGAGAAAACTTTGTTACAGTTTGTGCTACTGAAAATGTGTTCAGAATTTCGTGTATTTTACTGTCATAGTAAAGCCGATATATTTCGTAGTCTCAAACTTGCTTCCTCTATCAAGATTATCCTCGCTGCCGTTCATCACTACATGAATCCCAACATCGTTTTTCTTCTGTTCTTATTTATAATGCTTCCTTATTCATAGGGACCGTGGGGTACAATTGCATACCCAAAACCACGTTTACTTGGCTCAACTCATAGAACTGTGATCTTATTTCATGAGTCTTATAGAACGAAGAAAAGGTTAAATAAATAATGCAGCGTTCATCTTGAAATGATATCGACTTGTCTTGAGCATTGCCTACAGCAGAGCAAAAACACTTCTCCACTCATGATGGAATTGGTTGAGACAACATTATGCGCAGCTGTTTCGTTTCTACAGTGGAAGACTCGTGAACAGCATCTCAACTTCAGGCATTTTTTTAAGTGACTCCACCGATTATTGGATATATTTTACGTGCATATTCCCTCGGTTTCATCCGTTGCATGTGCAGGAAGACGCTGGTGGAGCGAAGAAATCAAATGAATAACAGAGGGTTTGGCATTGAATAAGAACAGCTGTTCGATCTTCACGTGCGACAGTTGGTAGAGTGCAATTCTAAGTCATCTTGGTTGTTTTCCCACGAGAGAGTCATGTGGATTGTCATTCTCAAAAGCATGTGACAAGTATAAGAGGCATTACCGAAAAAAACTGTTACCATCCTTGGTCTCCCTGACGAGTAGAAATTGGAAGGCAATTTGTGCAACTTAGCACTGATTTCATTATTTTGGCCACATACTAAACTGCTCACTGTGCATAATTGAACGTGCTTCTAAGCCTCCTCCACTCTTCCACAAACTGGTCAAGATCGATCACAGCGACAAAGCTTTTAAGGACAAGGTCCGCATCACATGATGCGGAGAGAATCGACTGTTGTGATGATTCTCGATCTTCATTAGTTTTCGAGCACTGTGTCATCACAAAAGTTGCTTCCCATCTGCCTTCAGCCCGATCGGAGTGCATTATCGTGAAAGACTTGCCGACGAGGACGTAATCCGTGAATAAGAGTTGTTTATGGTGAATCAGCAACTGAATTGTTTCACTTAAAGCAGTCAACAAAGGTCTACTTGAGTGTTCTTCAGCAACTCAGTTTTCAGACGCATTTATTAAAGACATTTATAGTGTCAGGTGATGGGAAAGCAAGTCATCTATCCCCATTTACTAGCATTCATGATTTTCCTCCTTTTCCTCGTTATATCCAGTACCATCCAGTGCCTTCGATGGGTAATCTTGTGTTGTAGCATTCAGGGGTACATAACAACAATTGATGGATCCTCGTGTTCCATTGTGATATGAGCCAGTGGGAAATAAGCCTTTGTTACCGAAGTACTGCCAACTATTCAATTTCTTAATTTCTGATTGTAGTTCTCCTCGAGCTAAAAGGCGTTTCCGGTGGCTTTCGTACCAAGTTCTTTTTAGTCAGGTTTTAACAGAATCTAATTGTGCAGTGTGCATGCTTGAACAAATACGGAATGAAGGAAAGAGTGGGTCGTTTTCACAATCGGAAGGCTGTTCCTACAGAAGCTTAAGGCGTTAGATCAAATCCCGGCTTCCATTACCCTGAGGGTTATTCATTTCAAATCATGTCCAAAAAATACAAACAGAAGAGTAAACATCAAATTTTCTTAAAGCCTTATAACATAACTTCAAAGCACAAAAGTTTCATGATTTGCACACAAATATTGATGACTCTCTCTGTAAATGAACAACCAAATCGATGTAACTTTGTGACTGTAACAGGTAATCGTCTGCAAGTCACGTTTCGCATTGCATTTATGGATATGGTGTGCCCGCTAAGGCAAGAGTGAATAATGACTACAGACAAAAACATGAAAAACAAAAAGTTTGCTTCAGATGGATGCCGGCGATTGTGCAGAGAACGGACATTTAAGTGGAACCTCATACCTCCCCCGCAATTGAGTTTTGTAAAGGGAAAAACAATCAAACACTACCCCAAAGTGCCACGTCCAAATAACAGTGCACTGCAACTTTAACAGATCGCAGTTACTGCATGATAGACCTCGATGGAGATTTATAACTTTTTCAGCTAAATTTGTCTCTTTTGGTTTACAAGGAAGCATTGCAGGGTTTACTGACCCAGGTACGGAGCTTAGCGCTCCTAGAAGTTGCACATGATTTTGCAAAGTGCGACAACATAAATTCTAGCAAAAAAATTCTCACGAATGAATGGCGTCTCCGGGACCTTCGAAGACATTCGACGATCCCCGGCCTCCATCGCTGTTGAGATGAGAGCTGCGCATGTCGAAGACACTGATAATGTTACAGATCCAACGCAAAGTCGCATTTCCAATCAGTTTGTGAACCGCCAGTGTGAACAGGGTTCTCAGAAAAGTGATCTCCCAAGAATGTTGCAATTTCACTCTCTAGGTTGTAGTTTGACAAATGATAAATTTTATTTAATGAGATTTTTACACTTAAATGATACTATGAAAGTTGAATTGAATTATATATTCAGGAATTGCGTCCAATTTGTCTAAAATGTTAGTTTTCGAAAAGTTTTATATGTTAATTTTCCACTTGGCAATAAGATGGTATAAATTTAACATATTTTAACTTGTTGCCAATTTATAGATTAAAATTGAGCATAATTTTGTCTACTGTTGGCTTGCGGGGCCAAGCCAAGAGTTAGATCTTGTTGATTATCTAGTTTATAGTCATGTAGTCCACACTTTTGGTGTTGTTATGGAGTTGAGATTGTCACTTGCAATTATAAAATTAAAGTTTTTTTTCTTAGTTATTGAAATAAAGCTTTGGCTCATGGTTATGGAATCAACACTTTTATTTTTAGTGAAAGAGCATCAGAAAGCTTACATATCCTTTATTTTTGCCATTGAATATTGTATATAAGATAGTAGAAGAAATATAAAATAAAATAAAAAAATACAAATCAAATTTTCTACAAACCATTAATATTAACTAAAATAAAAATATGTATCAATAAGTCGATGTGTGTGTATCTATATATATATATATATATATATATAAACACATCTTTATATTAGACAAAACTCTTAGTCTTAAGTTGAATTACCTCTAAAACTACTATAGGTATTTATTTTTATAAAAAAGATAAATAATATATATATATATATATATATATATATGTATGTATACATATGTATATAATTTTAAATATCAAGAATCAAAAATAAAATATAAATATTGATTAATTTTTTTAATATTATTATTATTATATATAATATCCTTATTCTATATGGTTGAAGACTTTAACAACAACTTATGCTTTGAATAGGTATCATGCAATGAACAATTGAGATAAAAATTTCAATCAATTTATAGCATTCTCATAACCTTTGCTTATTATTTTTGTTCTTCTTCTTTGTTACATCTTCAAAAAAATATTGCTTGATTTTAAGAATACAATCTTATTAACTCAATCTTGCAAATTTGAAGGATACCAAACCTAACTAGGCTTATTCATACTTAATAAATCAAATTGTAATTGCTTAAATGTATTGGAAGTGAACTCATTTAACAAAAATATGTAGAAGCAATTGTGGAGGAGTATAAAAAGATATAGTCTTTGGCTATGGATTAGAGTCAAATTTGCAATATAATAAATTTTAATTTCTTTAAATTCTTGTATAGTATAAAATCCACAATTGTCTAAGATTTAGGACATCCAAAAAGATCTACAACTATCACTAAATTGATCTAAGAATTGACTAAGTCATTTATTGGAAAGAGCTTTATACAAATCAATAGATATAATATTTTAGAAATTGATATTAAAAATTGAAGCAATTATTTGACAATTAAGTACTTGGATATTGGATATTGGATTTAATGCTAGAAAGGTTTTTTGAGATTAAATTTACAAAATGAATAGATAGAAGTAGGTGCATTGAAGTAAGTAGCACTATTATGTACTTGACAATGCTAATCAATGTGAAAAAGATCAATATTAAATTAAATAATTGACACTTCAAGGAACAATATTTACAGCTTGCGCTAATTGGTAGGGAGCTTTTTGTGAATTTTTTGTAACGAAGAATATTAATTTATTTAATTTATATATTATCAACCTGAGTTGTTGAAACACTTAAATTCTATATCAACTCTACTTCTTTGAATTAAATTGTATATCCTATTAATATTGAAAAATTAGTTGATATCAACTTTGTCCTTATATTAGCTTAATATCAGCTTGGTATTAGCCTTGTATCAAAATAAAAATCCTAGAAGTTATTTTTTTTCCAATGCTCCCTCTTTTTTAGGATTTTTTTTTTTTTTTTTCACAATTTAAATTGTATATCTATACCTTTTGTAATGTTTAGGTTCAATGTTATTACACTAATATATTAAGTTGATCTTCTTTCAACTATAAGTTATTAGTGACTTTTCATTTTTTTGATCTTTGCTTCACTTACTTATTAAAAGTTTGTAAATACTAATATTATTGTAGTGGAAAGTGGTGTTGTTAGGATTTTGATTACTAATAATGACTCTGCAAAGAAGATATGATATTATACTTACATACTTCCACCAATTACTTCAAGAGTCTCTCAATAGGTTTGATGGAGCAACATTAGAGGGTGAGAAAGAAAAATATGACAACGTCTCTTTTGAAACAAACAACTTAATAAAAATAAATAAAATAAAATAAAATAAAAAATGTTTGACCGCCTACTTCTCACATTATAAACACCCAATTTTTTAATCTGTCATTGTTATCTAATTTGTTATTCCTCCAAATTTGGTTAAATATTAAATTTGTGAGAAAAGAAATTGTAAGTAGACTATAAGCTGTAAATAATCTTTTCTTCATTATAAAACTATAAGATTTGAGTAAGAGTTGGAAATACAACAAACAGTCTATAAATTAGTAGAATATTTTAAGATTTGTAAAGATTGACACTCTAAGCTATTGACAAATGGTTATAGCTAAGGGAATTAAACCTAAACATTTATCATATAGATATAGATACAAACACTTTTGTTTTATGATTACATTTGCTAAGAATATAAAGAGTTTAGATAAAAAAAACTTACTATATGTATTTCAAGAAAAAATATAAAAAGAAAACTTATATAAGTTAATTTTTATTGATGTAAAATAAAATTCTAATGTAAAATTAGTGTTGTATTAAGAAAACAACTATCTCAGCCCCATATTCTCTCTTAATTTGTAGTGTTGAGTTTTCTTAACATATTTAGTTAATATATCTATTAATTATTCATTTAAAAGAATATTTA